AACTCAGGAATCCTGTCAAATTTAACATTCTTATATTCTTCATCTTCATCAACTACTATTTCTTTTTTGCGATCTTTGATTTTTACGGGCACAACTTCAGTTTTGAAAACACCACTCTAATTTTTTTTAATGACAATGACAATAAATATATATATATTTTTTTATAAGGAATGAATAATTAAAATATTACTAAAAGATTAAAATAAATAATACCTTCCAAGCTTCATCAGCACGTCTATATGATTCAATGGCATGCATATCTTGAACTTCCCTCGATATACTGTATTATGCATTTTAGCAGTATTTTCTGCGCAATTACCCTATTATTCAAATAACTTAAACTTTATAGTCAAAAGATCGTCGAATCCACATTATAAAAAACTTGTGAAGGCGTTTACCATACTAATATATATAAAAAAATATTTTGTTAATTTCGTTTTGTTTCGTCTTGAACAAATAATTACAAAAAAAAAAAATAATAATATATACTGTATTTGATTATAGACATCCCATAAACCGTCTTTAATTATTCCATCGGCTAAAATTTGATGACCATAAACGGCATTTCTCGGTGAATAGAATCTATTAAAGAATCATAAAAAATTATCAAGTAATATGTCCTGAAACATAAATTTTTTCAGAAAAACTTGATAAAAAAAATTATTACGGAATATTAGACATACTTTCCATACCACCAGCAATCATTATTGATCTATCACCAAGAGCCAAATTTTGAGCAGCCAATATGACAGCCTTCATACCAGATGCACAAACTTTATTAATTGTTGATGCCTCTGTTGATCGTGGGCAACCTAATTTTAACAATAAATTGTAGTTCTCGTATCCGTTTTTTAACAGCAGCCGGATAATATGGGGACGAAGCAAACTCCTCCTTTGTTATTTTTTTCTAGATTCCAGCTTGCAACCAGAGACCAAAATCCAAAATGCCTACTTTCGAACTAAAATAAGATGAAGAAAGAATCAATTTTCTCGATAAACTTAATAAATTTAAAGTGAAAGTAGTTTTTACCCTCATCATAATGGAAAATGTTTTTTGTAAAACAATAGAAATAAATCAAATATAATTTAAAAATAAAAGTGAAGCCCGGTTGCCCGGATTTTAAACCAAATATAATTTAAAAATAAGTGAAGCCCGGTTGCCCGAAACTTTAAACAAAATATGCGCATTGAATTATTTTAAAAGTGAAATGAAGCCCGGTTGCCCGAAACTTTATATCAAATATTTAATATAAAAAGAAAGTTTCTTTGTTCCAGAAATACTAGGATAAAAGTCCGGTTGCCCAAGACTCTTAACTAGCAAAACTATTTTACAAGATAAAGGTGGTAAATAATCAAAAATAGGTTCAGTTGCCCGAAACCTTTTTCGAATCTCGAATTAAATATTAGAAAATTTAAATACACAGGTTTTTATTATAATCATTGGCTTAAGAACAAATATAAATATTTCAAGCTTTACCTTCTTAATTTTAAATTCATTTATTTCGTTGTTTGCATCTTCGCAGTATTTGTCGACAATTTTTTTTACAAAAACTTGTTCTAATGCCTTTGCAAACCAGCTCAAAGCATTTTCAGGTGATATTACGAGATGAACTAGCGATTTCGTAACTATGAACGTTATAAAAGTTTTAATATTGATATTATTTAATGGTGTTTTTTGAGTGAATTCCTAAAAGAATAAACTAAAGTTAACAGATAAACTTTGAATCAAATTGAAGATTTCAATACTTAAAAATCATTACCCATAAAATATTTGATGTTACAGCATTAAGAGAAGATGCATTTTCAAATGCATTTTTGTCAAAATTCAATTCCTTAACGTTAACGAGCATAAATTAGCGTTAGATCGATAAGGTCGATAATTGTGGTACATAGATTATAAAATCTTCATATGTATTGTACCTTGGGTTTATCCGAAAATTTTACAAAAATGAAGGTTGTTTGTTCACTCTTTGACATTACAGCAGGGCGATGATTTTCTATCAATTCCGTCCGTGATTAAGTCTGAATTCTGCAAGGTTCCGTGCGTTAAATTTATAAAATCCGTGCATTATCATGCATTATCGTGCATTATAATTTATGATTTCCGCGTTGCTTATAGTAAAAACCTCGTGTATTCTGTGTACGTAGGGTATCTGGCATACTCAAAAAAATTGGCATGCCATCTATCCAAATCTGTGCCATGGCATGCCAGTGGCATGCCATATATGTAGAGATTAAGCCCGGGTAACCCGGATAAAAAAAATAAAATAAAATAAAGCCTTCATATGATTGGATAATTTAAAATCAAGAAAAATTGGATCACGTAGAAGATAGAGTCATAATACGTACGTACGTAAGTGCTAGGATTTTTGATGGGAATTTGGTGATTATAAAAATTTATAAGCGGGTTCATAAGCATAATA